CCCCCCCCCCCACCTCCCATTTGCAAATGGCCTGGCTGAGGCCCAGATGAGGCATGATCCTGGCCCTGGTCACACGGCAGGTCAGACCCACCCCAGGACCTTAGCACACGATGGGCTGCTTGTCCACAGTCACTCGGGGTATGATTCTAGCGCCTCTCTTTCCCCAGCACTTCCGTTGTCCCTTCTATCTGCCGTGCTGGAGGGAGGAGGGCGCGTGCCAGCTCCGGGCATGTGAGGCACCTGGGAATGGAGTGAGCTGGGAGTCACCCGGGCATTCTACTGCCAGGGCCGTTGGTCCCCCCTGGGGAGGCGGGCACCTCCTCCCTGCCAGCTGGGCTCCTCCCCACTCACCCCTGGAAGACCAGAGGTGGCGGGCCAGCCGCCTGATGCACGAGCCACTGCGGACCCGAGCCGTCTCCGGCAGCCCAGCAAGACCGGCACATAAGCAGGGGCCTCCCCACCTGCCCTCCCGGGGGGGCACTGCGCCCCCCGCCCCGGGGCCCCCTGAGCTCCAGGGACGGTTGGGGCCAGCACACAGGTTGAGTCTGAGGGCCCCTCTCCTCTCGACTCCCAGCCAAGCTCAGCCCAGAGTTCCTGAAAGGCGGTGCTCAGCCACCGTGAGGGCCATGGTGTCGTCCAGTAAAACCTTCAAAAACAGGGCAACAGGTGTCTAGACCAGGGGTGAGAGAGGACTGGTCCGGGGACACTGGCGTGGGAACGCACGCACCCTGCCCTAAGCCACCGAGGCTGCACGTCCGGGGCTGTGGCCCTGCCTGGACCTTCCTGCGGCTGGCAGGAGAGCCTGGGAGGTGGCTCCCTGGCCTCTCCCACGTGGTGACCCGATGCCCTCCCCGGAGGGGCCGGGTTATTTCCCCGCGGCAGAGAAGCAAACGTACCAACAGCGAGGGCTCGAGTCAAAGCTCCTGTCTCTGAGCTCAGCCCCTGAGGGAGCGGTCAGATGGGAACCTGGATCGCCCCCCGCCCCTCACACTTAGCCTCCCCCTACCCAGGACAGGCTGTGGGGGGAACATGTATCCCGGCCCAATCCAGGGCTCTGGGGCCAAACCGCGGAGCCTGGGGAAGCAGGCCAGGCCTTCTGGGAAGCCGTCCCCCCTCCTCTCCACTTCTGGCCCCTCGGGGTCCACCGACTCTCTCACGCGGGAGCCAGGCCTGCGTGTGAGCCGGGAGGCTACAGGTCTCCGGGTCTCCTCTGCCGGAGGCGCGCAAAGCCCTGGAGGCCCAAGCTCCGCAGCCTGTGGTCTGGCGAGGGGGCCGAAGAGCTTTCCAAAGGCCATGTGAAACCCAAACATCTTCCCACGACTTCGACTTTATTAGCCTGACCTGTTCCAGCGCGGTCCATGGTGGGGCTGTGTACCATGTGAGCATCTGAAAGCAGCCAGGGCTCGCCAGGGACTGCCCCCTGCCCCAGTGACCATGTGGCTTCCTGCGAGCGTCTGAGGGGACCCTGTCCTCCTTGTCCCCCCCACACCCGCCACCTTCTGCTCCCCAGAGAGTCAGGCATGCCGGGCAAGGCCGCATGGGCTGCCCCCGGGCTGCCCGGTGGGCGCCGAGATCCTGCTGGGGTGAGCCGGAGAGGTGACGGGGGAAGGACCGGGGACGGGGGCACGGGGCGGGACACACGCTTATCCTGGCCAGGAAGGCAGGGAGGAGGGTCACACAGGCAGATGTTAGAGAGCTCTGAAGGCCCAGAGAAGGGGTGCAGGGGAGTCACCCCTTTAAAGACCCTGTGCGAGGCCCTTCCCCGGGGCCACAAGTGGAGAGAGCGGGGAGGCGGGAGCCACGTCCCAGTCACAAAGCAAGGACAGAGGCCACAAGGCAGGAGGGGTCTGTCGGGTTCTCACCCGGCAACTCCTTCACGGACCTAGCGAACAACGTGCTCTTGGGGAAACTGAGGCAGGAGGTGGGGCTTCTGCATGGGCAAGGGAGGGCACCGATGTGAGACCCACCCCTCCCACGCCCTGCTTCTGCTCACCTATTTCACCAGCTGGTGGTGCTCAGAACGCTTTCCCGTGTGAGAAACAGGTCAAGGCAGGAAGAATTGGCTTCCTGGATCCCCTCCTCTGCCAGCCTCTGGGGAACGGACCATCCTGCCCAACGGCCTGGCCGCAGGGACCCAGCCAAGCTGGCACCCCTGTTCTCTGCCTTTAAACTGCGCCCGAGGCAGACAGTACTAAACAGTCCTCACTCCGTCCCTAATTCCAGATGCACCTGGAAACTCTCCAGCGGTGCTCCGCTCTGGACAGTCTGCTCGTCAGGCAGGTCTGGGATACCGGGCAGACCCCTTTGCTTCCCTGCTTCTATACTGGGCTTACTAGGGGTTAACTACGCACCTTCTCAGAAGCTTCTAGAGGGCCACATGGCACGCTCCCTGAGCCCAAGACCTTGCAGCTTTGTTTTGGGGGGTAGGGGTGGACTAGAGGCCAGCCTCCGGTCAGTGACCATAGGACGGGCCCTCTGGGTCTCCTGTCCGCTCGGGTGGTATCTGTTTGGGGGGCGAGCAGCTCTGCACTAGGAGGGCGGGGAGGACCCCTGCTCTGGCCGGGTCCAGTCCTGGGCCAGGGCGGCAGGCCCCGTGGGGAGGGTCAGCGAGGGACGGAGCAGGTCTCAGCCTCCTGATGCCCCGAGGCTCCGCCCCGCG